TTAAGCATTCAGGCTTTTGAGCAGTAATTCAGCTGAGACCCATTCCGGATGAGGACTCAGAGGCCTCCAGTCTGAGGAGACAAGACCAGCTGAGGATCCGGCGAGGTAAGATAACTGTGGCTTGTTCTGTCTCTCTGATCTACCAGCATGGACCCCAATTACTCACCTCGGGATTTGATTTTATTAATAAGAACTTTTAAAATTCCTGCTACAGTTATTCTGCTAAGGAAACATAGTAATAATCTGGCTTCTAATGACATATTGCTTTACATGTAGACCAGTCATCACTCAACCCACACCAGAGAACTTTTTCTTGCAATAAATGGTAATTAACACAGAGATCCACAAATGGCCAACATGCAATGAGAAACCTTGGAGAACTCAATCCTAAATGGGATGTCTTATCAAACCCTTCATTTGAAGGTTCAGACATCTACTCAGAAGAAGAGGTAGAAAGACTGTAAGAACCAGAAGTAATGGATGACTTTAAGGAAATAGCATCTTTCAGACACAATAGGGCTGGTGCATATATGAACTCACAGAGACTATGACAGTACACACAAAACCTGCACAAGTTCAAACTAGACAAAAATACCCAGATGGAGAAGGGGAACTGGGCTCAAAGTCCCATCCCTAACCAAGAAGCTGTTTATAATTTATACCTAATGGGAAAGGGAAAATTTATTTTTCTGTGGTGGAGTGGCACTGGGTATATCAGCTACACTCCAGGGCAGGCTCATACTCAGGAGTGGTTGACCAACAGAAAACAAACTCCATGTATTTTGTGTGTGCCTATTTTTGATAGGATTTGGTGTTTGTTGTCTTTTCAGTCTTGGTTTTATTGGAGTTTGGGAGATTGGGAGGTTTTTGAGAGAAGTAACACAAAGTTGAGTGGATATAGGGAGGTGGGGAAGATCTTGGGGGAGGGGAAGAATATAATTGAAATATATTGTATTAAAAAATATAAAATAATTAAAAAAAACTACAGCAGAAGTCCCGCTATGCCTTACACCAAAAATTCTAAATAGATAAAGCACATGTAAAATTAAACAATAAAAGTTCCTAGAGGAAAATATCATAGAAGATACTTATGGTTAAACAAGGTAAGACTATGAAGTTTTTTAAATCTTCAATATGCAGATCAGGAAAACAGGCTGTATAGAAATAGATAATAATAAATTTTATGTAAATTTAAATTTTTTTACTAAGAAAAAATTTTATTCATTTTACATACCAATCAAAGATCCCCCTCTTCCCTCCTCCTGCCCCTCCAGCCTCCCCTTTCCAACCCACCTCCCATTACCTCCTATAAAAAGGTAAGGCCTCCCATGGAGAGTTACATTTAGAAGAGGCAAGTCCAAGCCTCTCCCCCTGCCTCAAGGCTGTGTAAGGTGTCCCATCATAGGCAGTGGGCTCCAAAAACCTGCTCATGCACCAGGGATGGATTCTGATCCTACACCAGGAGGCCCCTTTAAGCCGATCAAGCTACACAACTGTCTCACTATGCAGAGAGGCCAGCCCAGTCACATGAAGGTTCCACAGCTGTTGATTCAAATTTCACCAGTTCCCACTAGTTTGGTTTTTTCATCTCCTCAGGTTTCCCCATCACACTCTTGATATACTTGCTCATAGAATCCCTCTTCTCCCTCTTTGACTGGATTCCTGGAGCTCTGCCTGGTGTTTGGCTGTGGATCTCTGCATCTGCTTCCATTAGTCACTGGAGAAAAGCTCTGTGATGACAGGATATTCACCAATCTGGTCACTGGGGTAAGCCGGTTCAGTTCAGGCACCCTCTCCACTATTTCTAGTAGTCCAAGCTGGGGTCATCCTTGTGGATTCCTGAGAACTTCCCTAGTACCCGGTTTCTCTCTATCCCCATGATATCTCCCTCTATCAGGAAATAGATGAGATCTCCATGAGTAAACTGGGCATGAGGGGTGGGCAATAGAGGGTAGGGGATAGGGGATGAGAACATAAAGAAACAGGATGGTCGAGCTGGAACAGGCATTGAGTGGGAAAGCAATGAAAGAGATACCATGATAGAGTAAGTTTAAATTTTAAATAACATTATTTTTATTTATTTAGCTGCTGTACAGTTTCATTCATGTGTATAATATTTTCCTTATTGATCTGGAAAAAATAACCTTAATAGAAAAAGGGAAAAATGAAGTAAAACTGGTTGTAAAAGTGTTCATACAATCCATTGAAATTGTATCAATAAAGAAAGATAATTGGTGCTCTTGCTTGAATGACAAAAAAATAAAAAATAAAAAATAAAAATGTTATGCTGTAAAAAAAAGAAAAATGGAAAAATGTTATGAACAAATAACTCACACAAAAAATAAATGAAATGGTTACTAGAAATATTGAAAGAATCTTTTCAAGAAGAAAATTAGAAAGGATCTATAAGAAAATGTATATTTTTACTTAAATCTCAAAAGTGAGACAAGTTATATGCTCATGTTTCTTGCTAAAATACACAGTAGGAAAATTGTTATATAAATTATGGTAGTATAAGATCACATTTGAAAATTTTATATTATTTCATTTATTGTCTCTATCAGAATCCAGGAGATTAAGCACTTCCAATTTCTCAATAGGCACTTAATACATGCTTGTGTAATAAGAAAATGAGTACATTGAGGACTTTCTTTATCTTACTAGGCTGGAAGTGATGGGGAAAGTATCAGAAATTGTCCCTTTTGCCAATGCCTTTTTATGATACTCTGGCTTAAAGGAGTTAAATTTAATGTGACTACTATTGACATGACCAGGTAAGATAAATCAGGATATATTGGATTCTAGTGCTTGATATTGATAGACAACAATATAATGTTGGTATTTGATAGTATTTGATAGAGATATAACTCTTCTTATTCTCAATGATCATAGAAAATCTGAAGAACTGAAGAACTTAGCCCCAGGTACCAATCCTCCATTCTTGGTATATAATAAGGAGTTGAAAACAGACTTCATTAAAAATGAGGAAATTCTAGAGCAGACACTGGCTCCTCCAAGGTACAACATGTTATAGGATATTATTATGCTTATGATAATTTTTGGTCTATTTATTCCAGATTGATTTTTCTCATCTTTAAAATTACACTTATTGATTGATTAATTGATGTGTATGTGTGTGTGTGTGTGCATGTTTTTGTGCACATGCACATGCATGCCATAGCACATGTGTGGAGACTAGAGAAAAACTTGTGGGTGTCGGATATTTCCTTCCATCAATTGGGTCCCAAGGATCAAACTCGAGTCCTCAGATTCAGTGACAAGTACCTGTATACACTGAGCCATCTTACCAGTTCCAGATTGTGGATTCTTGCTAACTCGAAAGTGGTTTGGGAATCTGGGATTACAATAAGACACATACATAAACCTCCTCCTTCAACTTCAAATACATAATAGATAGAATGATCCAAATGATTTTTTAAATTCATAGCATATTTCAAAACAGGAAATTTTCTATAAACTTGAAATAAAGAACTCATGGGATGGGAGTGAGGAGACAGAGTACTAACACTGTATAATTCATGAGTGCTAGTCATCTGGCTTAGGAGAGTATTTTGGACTCCTGTGACCAACAAGTTGAAGAGAAGTATTAATCATCTGCCTAGCACAGACATTTTTGTTCGACAGTCCATCACTCCTGGGGAGACCATTACCCTAACACATAGAATAACTACTTCTAAGTAATCTTACAATATAAATATAATAGGTTTCCCCAGTGGCTTTTCCAAGTATCATTTCTTTTTTATCCCTCATCCATCCCTCTCTATATGAAACTGTCCTCCATATTAATTAGTTTTCTACCATTGTGACAAAATGGCATTACCTAGGCAACTTATTACAGAACATATATAATTGGGCTTACAGTTCAGAGGGTTAGAGTCGATGATGGTAGAGCAAAGGCATAGTGGCAGATTGCATGTTATGACAGCATTATCCAGCATTGAAGAGGGACAGGAGGAAGGCTAGCTGGTTCATGGAGGAACACCATGCTCTTTGGTTGGTATATGTGCATAAAACTGGAGATGTTGGAAGCACCTTGGGAATAGATGACAAAGGAATGTCACAATTGTTGGTGATGTGCAAATGGATGGAATCAGCTTAGGAGAATAAGCAGAGCAAGAAAAGAGAGGGTTCCCCTGTGAAGAAACTTGCAGCATAGAAAGGAATAAGACCCAATGGTACTTTAAGAGAGGATATTTGGAGAGGAAGGGAAGATGATTTTAGGTTTAACAGGACATGAATGTATTCATTAGCTAAGAGGAAAGAGCTAACAGAGGCAAAGAGATAGATTATTCAGGGGTGTATTAGTTAGGGTTCTCTAGAGGAACAGAAGTGACAGAATATATGGGATTTGTTAGCATGGCTTACAGGCTGTAGTCCAACTACTGCAACAATAGCTGTATATCAAAGGAAAGTCCAAGAATCCAGTAGGTTTTAGACCATGAGGCTGGATGCTTCAGCTAACTTTCAGTATATGCCAGAATCCTGGAGGAGTAAGCTCTTGTGCCAGCGAAGGAGTGAATTCACCAGTGAGAGTGAGGACAAGTAGGAAAAAAGCAAAAGCTTCCTTCATCTGTGTCCTTTATATAGGCTGTCAGCAGAAGGTGTGGCCCAGGTTAAAAGTGGATCTGGATTAAAGGTGGGTCTTCCCATTTCAAATGATTTAATAAGAAAAATCCCTCACAGGTGTACTGAGCTGCTTGGGTTTTACCTAATTCCAGATGTAGTCAAATTGACACCAAGAATAGCTATTACAAGTCCACCTCTTGTAAACATGACACACAATCATATCTTCTTATGTAGTGGGTAGCCATTCCAGCTTTGATCTGGAAGTTCCAACCCCCATTGAAGCTTCGGTAACTGTCACGCCTACAAGGCAGGGCCAAGAGAGGACCCTGAAGACCTGAGATCCAGATGCGCCAGCTCTCTTGTTTGGTTCCTGGACCCTGGACGCTGGAGTTCTCGAAAGAACACCGCCAGACTGTGCTACCCCTTTCCCAGACTCTGTAAACTATCCATTCACTTGTAAGTTACCCCACAAAATAAGCCTCCCTTTTAACTACGTTGAGTGGCCTTAATAATTTCACCAATATTCTTATGTCATGCTTTGTTTTCAAATGAAAACAATATCCAGGTCATAATTACACCTAACATGATATAACTATCCCACGTACAACCACCAACACATTATAAGTTTTAGAATAAGTGGCAATGTCCCTTGAGGGACATTCTTTTGGTATCTCAAAATTTAAATATGATAATCACTGGTATTCTCTTAATTGATGTTACATTACATGATAAGGCAATTGAGGAAAGAAAACACAAATATCTGTGCAAACATATCCTTAACAAAATATGAAAGAAACACTCATGTCCATTCTAATCCTTGTTTCTGCAACTGGTCACATAGCTTTAGTTGGTATTTAGAACTACCTTCCTCTACTACCCCATTCTGTATTTCCTTCACCCTTGGCAAGCACCCCAGCAGGTCTTGGTGTGGTGGTATTCTAATTGTACTGAAATGTGATTTTGATTGTATGTTAATAAATAAAGTTGCCCAGGGGTCAGAGCTATTAGAGCCATAGCAAGAATGTGGCGGTGGTGGCACACACCTTTAATCCCAGCACTTGGTAGAAGATCTAGGTAGATCTCTGTGTGTTCAGGGATAGAGCCAGCATTGGAGACATATGCCTTTAAGACTTGGGGGACTGTACATACAGACAGTGATGAGGCAGTCATGTGTTTGGGTTTACAACCAATGAGAAGGCAGAACAAAAAGACTATGAAAAGACGTACACACAGGAAGTAGCTCACTTTCGGGAAGCTAGGACCACGGCAGGAGGAAGGATGAGATTTTAGCTCTGAGCTCTGACCTCTTGGCTTTCTCTTTTACATTGGTTCTGTGTTTCTTATTTAATAAGACAGTTGGTTACATCTACACCTTGGTTCTTTTCCTGGAGCAGTGACCCATACCTCCATTCCTAAAGGTTCTATGCCCTTTGTCATCCTGCCTGGATTAAACTGTTATATACTGAGTTTTTTTTCTATTTAGCGTGATATTGGTTATGGAGCTGCTGTAAATTGCCTTTATTATGTTATGTCTTTTCTATCTCTAGTCTCTCTAGGACTTTAATAATGAAGGGATTTGGATTTTTGTCAAAGGTCTTTTCTGTGCCTAATGAGATGAACATGCCTTTTATGTACTTGAGTCTACAAGCAAGACATTATACCTGCTTGTTTCCCAACTACTTTCTGAAAATGTATTGCTTTTGTTCCTTGCACCAAATAGGAACATAATCAAGAATCTAAAGCATCGTTGTTATAGGTATATAAGGTTTAAATCCCAGGCCATAATTTCCTCTGAATTTTAGAAACTAAAATATTCTCAGTTTGAGGAAAAATATATTTCTACTGAGAGGTTTCTGAATACCTTAAATTTTCAGTACAATTTAGAAATTTAGAAAATTTCTATTCTTTGTAAAGTCTAGGACACTATGGATCTGTGATACAGTTTGGGAATTATAGTCACCTGCATTCCTTTTTAAGATATCCTCACCTGAGTCCCAAGTACAAGGAATCTTTTGATATGGGCTATAATCTCTTTGCCAAGTTTTCTGCATATATTAAGAATATACAAAAAGAAAGCAAATAAGAGTAAGAATTCTTTTTCAAACTCTATTTTTCTCAGATACTTGCTCATTCTCCCATCATCACTCAACTAAAACAGAATTTTCACAAAAATATAGTGCATTTTAGGGAACAGCCCACTTCCCCCTTCATTTTCTGTTCTGTCCTCTGAAATTCGCTTGCATTGAGTTTTAGTATATTTAGAATCCAAGATTCAATATATTAATTACCAACACAGTTCAAATACAGAATTCATGGCTTTTTGGAACCTACTCCCTCTGCTGGGATGCCTCGCTCACCCTTGATCTAGGGAGGGGAAAACTTGGTTCTGCCTCAACTTGATATGCCATGCTTTGTTGACGCCCATGGGATGCCTTACCCTTTTTGAGGAGTTGATGGAAGGGGTTGAAAGGAGGTGGGGGAGGAAATGGGATGAGAGGAGGGAGGGGAAACTGTGGTTGGTATGTAAAATAAATTTTAAAAGTTAATAATAATATAAAAGAAAAAAAACAAATCGAACATTTGTTGACTAGCTGTGAACTAGCTGAAGAACTATGCCTTTGAAGTTCTTTAAACTGGGGCTGGAGAGATGGCTCAGAGGTTAAGAGCACTGACTGTTCTTCCAGAGGTCCTGAGTTCAATTCCCAAGGACCTAGCATCTCCAATAAACATTCTTGAATAGGTTTGTTTTCCTCTGAGTCATAAAAACATAGTCTCCTCTCTTGGACCTTATGTCCAAGATATTTCACTCACCATTTGAGCTGACTCTGTCTCATCAGGGTATTAGTGGAAAAGAGCTAGTTCAAGCAGCATGTACACCATGAAAGCTTATTAAGAACATATTTAGTTATCAAGATAATACATTTATAAGTGACCTTATTACTTCATTGCCTCAAATTTTGAAAAAAAATCTCTGCTAAGAGAATTTAAACATCTGAATGACAACTTAAATATTCCACTTCTGGACAAAATTGATCAAGACAGTGCTGGGAAGCACACAGTTTCCAGAAGTCTGTTCTTGGATGGAGATCAACTAACACTGGCTGACTGCAGTCTGTTATCCAAACTGAATATTATTAAAGTAAGTTTGAGTATGAGTGGCTGCATAGAGTGAGGGGTTTGTGACTTGGTACTATATATCACAGTGACCTTCTAGTAAGGTAAACATATGGCTGTCTGTACATTTCTAGACAAAACATTAAAACAGTAAATCCACTATTCTTTATGATTATTTTATACTTTATTTTGTAGTACTTGGCCTTTGAGGTGTGTTTCTACATAGGAGAACATAAATGATATATTTTACTATCAACTTTTTCCTTTTTTTTCTAAAACCCTAGGTTACTGTCAAGAAGTACTGTGACTTTGACATTCCAGCAGAATTCTCAGGAGTCTGGTGCTATCTCCACAATGCCTATGCCCATGAAGAATTTGCCTACATATGTCCTGAAGACAAAGAAATTGAAAATATGTATGCAAGTGTGGCTAAACAGTAGAGACAAGACAACTCTTTCAGGAGAAAAACTTCTCTTTGTTATCAAATTTCACTTTGTACCTTATTGGAAATATTATTGGAAATAATAGCATGTAAAATACTATTTCCTCTAATCAACTCAGTAATGGGAAAAAAACTCTTTTAAGTTTTCTGTTATCTAGTTAGCCATAAACAATCTGACCTCTTTGTATTTTACAGATAGTCATATTTTCACTTCACTTATTCCTATGACAAATCATTGAATATTAAAAACATGGAAAGCATCTTTTGTTTTTGAGTTCCTAAAATGCATAACAAGTGAGATAAAACATATGTGGATGAAGTAAAGATTGGCAAAAACTGTATGATATCACTCATTTGTAAACTCAAAAATTGATGTCACAGAAGCTAAGATAGTACTTATCAAAGGCTGGGAGAGTACAAAGAAAAATGGTGAAAAACTTGATCAATAGGTATTAAGTTACAATTAGGTATGAAATAAGTCCTAGTGTTCTTATGCATTCTAACGTAACTGTACATAAAAATAATATGAGTGTGTATTATTAGAGAAGAAGAAAACATTTATTGTTTATGTCCCAAAAGTGAAAAAATGGAAATGAGAAGATTTGAAAAGTTTTCTTGAGTTGTAATAATAGCCAGTATAATCCAAAAAAGAAATGAAAATAAAACACATGTCGAGGTTCCAAATTATGTAAGTAGAGCCACAATTTAAATGCTACTTAGAAAAAATTCCATCTAAATTACTTTACATTTGGTTAATACATACATTAGTCTGTTTCTGAAATGAAAACTGACATCAAAGCAGGACCACTTCAAAGACAGGAATTCCAAAACAATGATTTTTTTTCTTAAAAATTATTAAACAGGTCAGGATGGTAGAATTTTTCTCTAATCCCAGTTCTTGGGAAGAGAGGCAGGCAGATCTCTATGATTAAGGCCAGCCTGGTCTTCATATCAAGTACATAGTCAGAGCTACACAGTGAGACCCTGTTTCAAATAAATAACTAAATAAAAATCATTAACGAGATCAAGACCAATTAGTCATATAAGAGCACTCAATACCTAGAAATATGATCACATCACAGACATGAGACTATGGCCTTTGTGAGCATTTTATTAAATGAGCAGGTATTCATTTGGGAAAACTTAATTTTATAAAAAGAGATGAGGAGGAAATACATAGCAAAGCTGCAAAGTCAATTGGATCTTTCATTCACATAAATAAGAAAATGAAGAAGCTTAGTTAACAAAGTTTTTTGAAATATCAATTAAATTATAATGTAGATGGAAATGATTATAAAGCTTTCTATTGAATTTTTAAAAGTACCATATATATTAAAATTCATAAATACCTTGTATGTCACATGTCAATGTATCATTCAAATCTAGCAACAAAAGCTGAACTTGCTCCTTTGAAGGAGAAACAAGAAAATAGGAAGCTTCAAGAAAGAAAAACATGGTTATTATATGCTTTGAACAGGATGTAGTTTAGATAAAATTTAAATGGCGTAGTGTTTTAATAGATTTGAAGAAAAGTGAGGCAGTGAGTTAGGAGTCAGCATCAAGTCTAGGCATATAAATGGTACAATGTACTGTCTTTGATAATCAGTCAAAGTAACTATATAAAGTCAAGCTGTTTCTTCACTGGAAGTCTTCTAATTTGATAAATTGCACCTATAATCTGGTGGAGTTGTGGCTTCTCTGGACATATTTGACATTTCCATTTTTACTAATATGATTTCAAAAGGTAAATTTGTTTAAGATTTATGATTTTAAGGCACAAATCTTCTCAACAAAGTTTCTGTTACAACTTGAAATTTATTAGCTCAAACTGTTTTTACAGCTTAGTGATAAAGTAAAATCCTGAATATAACAGAATGGGAATTTATGACAAGGAAGTGGTTACCCAACTACTCTTAGACAAAAAAAAAATATCTTTTGCCATTAGGCTGTTTGGGGCTTTCGGGGCCAGTTGAAGTGGATCCTAGAAGTTTCCCAGTCTATTATCTTCTTAAATGATATTAACAGGGCTCAATTCAGCAGCTATTTAATGAATGCTTACTATGTTATTATTTTGCTATTTAATCCCCACAAAAACTCTGTGAATTATATAAAAGTACAGTTATCTATGAATTAAATAAAACACAATTCTCAAATGCTATTATTTACTTATAAGAAAACTAATATGAAGATAAGTTACCCATCTGAAGAGAATCAGAGGATCAGAGATTGATAACAGTCAGAAGAGAAATGCTAAGCCAGGCTTGATGGCTCATACATGTTATCTTAGTACTTGGGAGACTGAGTCAGAAGGATCACAAGCTCAAGGCCAGAATGAGCTATATATGAATTCCAAGTCAGGCATGGCTACAGAGTGAGACCCTGTCTCAAAAGAAAAACCAAAAACCAGACAAAAAAAGGGATACTCACAACTGATTACTAACTGATGGCTAACTTCCTGAAGAACAGTAAGATATTTCTCTTAAGGTTTAAGTTCTCCATGTGGCTATAAAATTGCAAGAATCAAGTCTTGCATATTTACTGTACTAACCTTACAGGATTCTAAATTATTTATCTTTAGTGATCGTGGATATTTAGTCAAATATGCTGTGACAACAAAATTAGATTCTCCAATAAGTGAATAAATTTTATCAGAAAATACTTTAATGTAACAGCAAAATGTTGATAGCATTATTTTTATTTTGTTAGGTTCAGGATAATTGTTTTTTATTTCAAAATCAACTATTATCACAAAATCCCAGTAGTTTAATAATTATTATTTTATTTTTATTAGTAAAAAGACTGAAGTTCATAGAAGTCATATGCTGTGGGATGGTCTTTCTGCATGCTGTGAATATGTGTTGCTACCATTGGTTAATAAGGAAGGCTCTCTGGCCTATGGCAAGACAGGTTATAGCCAGGTAGAGGGAGAAGGGTGGAGTCAGAGGCAGACACCATTCAACTGCTCAAGGAACAAGATGCCAGCAGACTGGTAATACCACAGCCATGTGGCAAAATATAGATTAATAGAAATGGGTTTTTTGAAAATTTTAAGATAAAAGAGCTAGTTAGCAATAAGCCTGAGCCATAGACCAAACAGTTTGTAATTAATAAGCCTCTGACTGGTTATTCAGGAACAGGCAGGCAGGAGAGATTCATCCATCTACAGTCACATATCTAGCCCACTTTTACCCTATTCATCTATTAAATGGCAGATTTATGATTTGATCCCATATATTTAGTCATAAAAATATTCTGCCTCAAACTTGAAAAATAGTACCTATTCCCCCAAAATGAATAGTTCAATAATGGAGTCAGCCAATTAGCTATGCACTTCCAACAAATGCATTATACATTATGAAAATATAGGTATAAGGTTACATACTAGAACTACATTCCTTTGTGTTCCCTTAGTGTGATCTCAAACAAGCTCCACTTGGTCATATGTGGTGGACTAGCCCCCACTTTTATGACCCAGGGTACTCTTAAGTAGGGAGAAATGAGAAATATTAGATAGAAAGAGATACCTAGATGACGAGAGGAAAGACAGAAACACAGGATAGCCTCAGGAGTGCCTGGGTCAAAACCTACCAGCCCAAAACTTTATTACAAAGGGCTTTTATAACAATGCCAAGGGGAGGGGCAAGTACAGACCCTTCCAAGCTCCTAGTAGTCAGGCCCATGGTCCAATCATCCTCTTAATGCAGTCCTGCTAGGTAAAGTCACTAGGAAACCTAGGTTTGGCTCCAACAGTCATACAGTCTGAATAATACAAATTCTATGAAAATTTTAAGATATGCATTTTCATGGCCAGGTAAATAAGTCTCCTACACACTTTGACCAATGTAGGCAGACACATGACTTCAAATCATGGTCCAGGATTAAATTAGTTCCAGAAACCTTTTCCTTCTTGTTTTAAATTACTCAATATGGGAAAGGATTTCCTTGTTCATTAAAGTCACCCTTTTTTTAATGAAAGGAAGGTAAATTTATTAAAAAAGAATCTCAGCAGAAAATTTCAGAGTCATAAAATAGAGAATGTATACATAGAGATAAGTGTCAAAACTTCCTATCTGATAAAGTAGTCTTTCTGACTACTTGGTGAAAAGATTAATTTTTCTTAATAAATGTATTAGTTTAAATACTTGAAAAACTAAAACAGGTGTCTTACTATTAAACAGAGAAATAATAAACTGAATATGACAAGTGAAATTATGAAAGTAGTATGGTGAAATATGCTTATAATCATGAGAAGACTATGCTCTTTCTGAGGATGTCATAAAATTAAAATATATGGAGCAAAGATTAATAAATCAATATATTTTATACTTTCTAAAAGAACTTCTACTCCTTCTTTTCCTATTAAGAAATTTTCTATTCATTTTACATATCAACCACAAATCCCCCTCTCCTCCCTCCTCCCACCCCCAACCCTCCCCCCATACCCACCTCATCCAAGGCAAGGCATCCCATGGGGAGTCAGCAGAGCCTGGTACATTCAGTTGAGGCAGGTCCAAGCCCCTCCTCCCTGCAACAAGGCTGTGTAAGGTGTCTCACCATAGGCACTAGGTTCCAAAAAGCTAGCTCATGAACCAGGGACAGATCCTGATCCCACTGCCAGGAGGCCCCTTAAGCAAGTCAAGCTACACAACTGTCTCACCTATGCAGAGGGCCTAGTCTAGTGCCATGGGAACTCCACAACTATTGGTCCACAGTTCATGAGTTCCCACTAGTTTGGTTTCATTGTCTGTACATTTCCCCATCATGATCTTGATGCCTCTTGCTCACAGAATCCCACTTCTCTCTCTCTCTCTCTCTCTCTCTCTCTCTCTCTCTCTCTCTCTCTCTCT